ATCTCAACAAGGTTGATAGCCTCAACTTATTGAACCCTCAATAAGGCTGATAACCTTATTGAACCCTCAAACCTTATTGAACCTCCCAAAGTAGGGAGAGAATGGCACACACCCAATCAAAGTGAATTCTTTGGGTGTCTTAATATAAAAGTTTTTTCTCTTCAGTCCATCAGAGCTACATCTGCTCATATTTATCATGCATCACATTTATACAGCATCATCTGCCTACACACACACACATCTGGATGCACAGGTGCATGCATGCTCACACACAGGTCTTTTCATCAAAGGTATTTACAGTATCAGTAGCCAAACCAAAAAATAAATAATTTTAAAAAGCAAGAAAGTTAAATGTATTTCTGTTTTGCTTTGTTGTTTGTTTGGTTTTTTTGTTTGTTTGTTTTTTAAACCATAAACTCTTCACCAAGAAAGAAATGTTAACATTTAAATTTATCTTTCTTTAGCCAGTATTATCTTAAGAAATTATCAACATGGATGTTTTTCTATTGGGAAAGATGCAGTTACAGCAATCCACTAAATACTGTAGTTAGGAAAAAAAAAAAGTGGCATTATGCAATTGGACAAATGGGATTTGATGAACTACAATTTTTTTAAATCAACAGAAGAACAGTACTTCAGAAAACAAAATTGGTGCAGCCTATCACTGAATGTAAATAAGAAGACTTATCTAATTTTTTGAAACTACTTTATGGTAGATTCAGAGAAAAGCAATTTAGCTGTTATGGGGAAGTTGAATGCTGCATTTCAGGTGATGTTTGCATCAGACTTTGCCTGGAAGTGATACAAGCCTTCAGCTCTCCATTTGTGAGAGAAGCTCATTTTATTTGTCTTTTCTATAGTGAAGGCTTTATAATTTTATTTTGGAGAACAGGAGGGAAAACTAATTCTTGGCATCACATTTCCAAAGTTTTCTAACATTTCTGTAAAGGTTCTATTTTTTATGTTTTTTAAGCCCAGACCTCATTAATGAGTTTCTCCAAACTCTGTTCTGTAATGAATTTCAGACATAAGTGTTTACCCTCTTCTTAGTTTTCCTGTCTTATTAACTAGCTCTCCTTACAAGAATACTGAAGTAGAGCAGAGCAAACTGCTGGCTAGGGCTGCTCCAGCTTTCTTGAAAGGCAAAGGGTAAGTTAAATAGAGAGTATGTTCATAGCTTGCACTAACACAGCTAAAACAAAACTTTTCCTCTATTTCCTCTGCTTTTAATGTATTACTTAAATATCTTTCCTCAGAAAATTCTAATAACCAATTAACCCTGTGAGCTAAGTAGGGCACGTTTAAATATATTCATGTACACCTGGATGTGAGGTCTTGATCAGACACTTCCAAGCAATCCAGCTTGTGATTTCACTATGTTAATTGCGTGTAATATAGATATATTTGATGTATATGAACTATACATAGTATATAGCAATTAGAGCTGACCTCACAATCTGCTTTATTTTAAAATAAATGGTACTGTATAGCCCCAGTCCCTGGCCTGATCTGGGAGCTCACTGATTTCCATGGCTGGCTCTGTAACTGAGTTGTATTCAACCATCCTAAGCCATTAAATCCTTAATATGTGACAACAATAACAAAATAATTTCTGCACTTTTTTTTTCTAAGAGCATTTAATTATTAGTTCCTAAATTCCCATTTCATAATCTCACTTGCTCCTGCTTTCTCTGTTTATTTCCCTCTGTCTGTCTGGACTGCACCCTCTCTCCCCCTGACCCCGTTCCAGGTTACAGTACAGCCTCGATGTTGCAGACAGGCTGGCCGATGAACATGTACTCATCGGGCTGTATGTCAACATGCTGCAGAGCAACCCCGCACGGTTAGTGCAGGTTTGACACCTTTGGGGAACCCAGGAAAGGGATGTTGGTCGGCCAAGAGCTCTCCTCGCTTCCTCATGGCTGCACATCACGCAGCTCGCTATAAGCACTAACCTAAAGGGAATGCGTATGAATGTGGGGTATGTCCTCCCAGAGCTGGCAATCGCTGTTATTCCCTCTAGTGATGCTAAATAGCAAGGTATTGCAAAGAAGCACTTAGTTAAAGAGTGACTATACAAATCGGTTTGGGATGCCACACACCAGTCAGCTCAGGTCTTGTCAGCAGCACGGAGATGTTCACGCAGCGATGACTGACAAGTCTGTGTTTTCAAGGAAATAATTGCTGAGGTGGTATATAATTTGTAGCTTCGTCGTACCTTGGAAGTAAGAAATGATAATAATATGTAAATAATGATAATAATAGGAATTTGCTTACTAGCCTACTGAAGGAAGGAGTTCATTTCGGTTTTTACTTATGTCAGGCACTGTTTTTACATCTACCTGACTTCTGCATTGCTTACATCTTGTATACATATTTGCCCTTATCTTTCATACAAATTCAGATATGACAGGTTTTAAGCATACTTGAGCATAGTTCATTATTTCTGCTGGAGGGAGTATGGAGCTTTGTCTACTAAACCTATGCGCTGTCCTGACACTGGTGGACAACAGCAGCACAGCAGGCCATCCATGGAGGATGTGCTGGCTTGCCTCTCCGAGTGCAAGAAAACTCTAGTCCTGGCATCCCTGTACCAGAGAGATGGTGAGCAGTGCAGAAGATATGGCACTGAAGAGAAAAATGCAGGATGTTTCTGATGAAACTATGCTCATGCAGGTTTTTTTCACTCATAATGAGCCCTTCAGTTTCTCCTGCTGCTACTGCAGAGTATTTCCCGGGTTAGTAGAAACTCTGCATATACTCTTATACGTAGAGAAGGCAACAAGACAGTGTCTTTAGGGAGGGTGAATGCAGTGGTTCTCTGCAGTCTTACAAAACTCACTTCTGTGTGTAGCTGCAGTTGGAAATGACGGTGATTTGCCATGTAGCAATGCGCAGTGGAGAAAAGATTCTGCTTTTGTTGTTCTGGATCTGCTTCTCTACTCTGCAGCCCACTGGAATTTGCCAGTGGGGGGAAAAGGCAAACTGGTTCTTAAAGAGAAAAGCTAAAACCACTTCTCCAAAACAAAAGCATTTTGAAGGGTAATTTCAGTTTTGGCTGACCTGGTTTAGTCATTTTTGGTGGTGGGCTACTAATGCTATAGCTGTGACTGGTTTAGCCTCAGTTAAACCAGTTAACCACCAGTTAGACCCCTTTGTGAATGCTAAGACTCATCTTTACCGTCTCTGTCCTCTGAATTTTATGCAATATATTCCATGTTCCTTCAAGCAGTTGGGCCAACCTCACCAAGTCACAGGACGTTTGTATTCAAATCTGCACATAAAACTTATGTGCCGTAACATCCTTCAAGTGTCATGTTTTTGAGGGATGAATGGAGAGTGATTGATAATGGCCTTAATTGTTTAAATAACTGACGCAAAGTATGGTACATAACATCTGATTACTGACTTTAAATCACTGCAGCCACAGCTTCCTCAACTAGAAACAATCTCGATCATTTATATGAGATACCAATTAGATGTTGACAGAAGCATAACTGAGATGGACAGCAGTCTTAGTCGTGCATCAAACCATGTTGCATTGTCACTTTCTGCTCAGCTGCAGTGAGACTAGTAAAAGGAACGGTTATGTTTTGGTAAGGACGGGAAGAAGAAACAAAATGTTGTCATTCTGGAGCTCCTTTGTGAAGCTGGTTTCCAGGAGGGGTAGGTGAGGTCTCAGCTGCTGCATCTCGTCAACTGGGGCAGCATCTTCGGGAAAACGTGCATTCCTCCTGCCCATGCCCTGACGTGGCTGGTTGCAGTTTGCTCAAAACACACACAGCTGTGTTAGGACAGTGCTGAGTTCAAGCTCATTTGCCCTGCAGCTCAAGATTTGATCACTAGAGTAAAGCATGTAGCTGACCTTAAACAGGTAGCTTCTGATTTCAGGGGAGGCAGCAGCTAGCAAGCTCAGCTTTTGTGTCTCCCTGCAAAATACCATGTATACAAACCCATACATGCCATGGCATATTTTCAAGTGCTACTGGCATCTGAAGATGAAAAGAGGAATGACTGTAGATGGGCCTCCATCTTCAAGCAAAATACAAATATACTTTGTGAGCATAAAGAACACAAGTATCCGGACAGCTATAAAGTCATATTTCAAAACAGAACAAATTGTTGTTTTAGATACTGAGTCAGGCTAATGCTCAATCCACTGTACCCCAGTTAGTATTATTGTTGTGTGCGTGTGCTTTTTTTTCAAGTTTATCTAGTATTCATATTTGATCTTTTAAATTAATTAATTTTCAGTGCTTATCTTTGTCTTTCATCTGCAGTTAGTTAATGCTGGAATTAGAAGTACAAGTTTTCCTTTCCATCCTTCACAGGCTAATAATCTTCATCAGGGTTTTTTAGAATCCAGTACTCCAGGGCAAATTAAGAAACAAGAGAAGGACTAACTTAGTATTTATAGTAACTGTATAGGTAAAAATAGCACCCCTTAAGCAGATGTTTTGCTTGTTTTAATCTTAAAGTGTAAAACCAATACTTGATATTTAATTTTTAGGGACTAGTTCTGGGGGAAAAAAAAGCTTTTAACTGCAAATTGTTTTCCTTTTTGTTCACACAAGTAAGAGATTCTACTTAGTCTTGAATATTAATTCCACATATTTCAGTCTCTCTTTTCAGACGCAGAAAAAGATAAAATACTTTCTGATTTTTTATGTTATACTCCGTAGTAGTATGGTGAGTCATACTTCTGTACTATAAAAGCGCCATGGTATTCCATGTTGTTTTCAAAGACTTTTTTACACGAGCGTGCAAAACAGCTAACTAGCTAGGAAGGCAGGTCTCTCTCTTTGAGATAGCTGTGGAGAAAGTAAAGCAAATCTACAGGGCAGCTCAGAGCTTCATGTGCTTCAAAATACTTAAGCTGGATTTCTACTAAGAGTCTTCTATTGAAAGAGGAAAAAAATCAGAGATGCTGATTACAGAGGAAATGTATAGACAGTGGGCTCTCTTGAGTGGAATTAATTTCTCTGATTGTATCTGCATACCTGAGTGATACCAACATTTCAATGGTAAAATCTAGGTGGTTCTAAAGGAAATGGCAATTTAACAATAGTAAAGAGCTCAGATGATATGTCACAGCTTAAAATGCCTTAAAAGCAGAATAATTTTGAACACGTCGCAGGTAAATACATTTACTGGGTTGTTATTATGACATTGTTCTTGTAGCCTGAATGTTTAGAAACCTACCTTTTATTTTGGCAGTACTTTTCATAATGAATTATTTGTTTATTTATTTACTGAGTGAAAGTTTAAATTCAGTAGAATAAGAGCACACCATGCAGCCCATGCTGATTCCCCTACTGCAAAACTTCAATGAGAGAGTGGCATTTCTGAGACTTCTCAAACCAGTGATGACATAATTTTTCCAGAGACCTATCACCTAGTGCAGGGCTTGTACTGCAGAACTGGCTAATATGACGCATCTGAAGCATGAGAAATAGCTAAGGTCCTTGGGTGTCACTCCTCTTTTCACACACTATCATTTTCTTGATCCTTTACTTGGAGTTTTAAGATCCTTTTTCATGGACCTCCTTTAGGCTGTAATATCTTATACAAATCAACAAAAGCCTAAAAAAGAACTCCTATTGTAAAGGAAATATTGGATATCCGACATTTGAATGCTAATAATTCCACCAGACCAATATTGCTAATGATTATAAGGTCTTTAAAGAAATGGTAACTAATGGAGAAGCAATGTTAAAAAAAAAAATGTTTAACTTTTTTAGAAAAGAAGGATCATTAGCAGATTATTTTTGTGTAAAAAGATGAATTTATTTCAAAAGGATGCCTGCAATGTTCTCTGCAGGATCCCAAATTCTACACACGTATTCGTATTTTAAAGCTTGTGTGTATTTCACTGTATCATTGTCCATGAAGTTGCTGAAGTAAAACAGAAGTGAATTATGGCAAACCAGAAATCAGAGACATAAAAGGCTTGGCATCTGAGGATAATGCTGCTGTACATACCTCTGTGCTTAATGATCACACAGAATAGGTACATTTCAGAATTAAATTTATCTCAGACATTGAGATTTAATTTACAAAGCTTTGGGGCCAGTGATTTCTGGCATTCATAAACCAAATTTTATGCACTGCTACATCTATTTTATGACATCCACCTACACATAAACGTATATCAAAGACATAATAGCAAGTAAAAATAAAAGAGCTGCAGAGGCTTGATTCTTTCAGTAAAGTCATTGTTTCAGGGGTTAGCTCACATCCCAGGACTACGTTGTAGATTATGTTACGCCAGCAAGAGGAACCATAATCCATTATTTTTCCAGGGTGGGTAATACAGTTGCACATAGCTGTAAAAAGGAGAATTGATGCTCAGTGCTTGCTGTTTTCACAGCCATCTGTTAGGACAGCTTTCATCATTATGGAAAAATTAAAAATGAATTGTATTGTGATGAAATTAATCCTTATTACCTGGTTTGCATGATTTTGTGTGTCTGTAAGAGCTGCTTCCCCCTGTCTTTCCCTGGATGACAGATCACTACAGCAGGCATGAGTATGTAAGAAGCACGGCTGTGATAGATTTAGAAAGTTTAGAAAAACATCTTTAGCTTGGGTCTTTTCAGAAAGTAAATCAGTTGTACATTGTCATCCTACAAGACTTTGAGTAAGAATAGAATTGAGCTATTTATGTAATAAAATAAGTTAAACAGCCAAAAAGGCTGTGTTTGTCTATCACCAAAAGTCTTCTGTGCAGTCTGTTGCACAAGCTTTGGTTACACAGAACATCTCTGTATCTGACTTTTCATAGCTTTACTGTTTTTTGAAACTTCATGTTTGTAGTCTCACAGGTTATTGTCAGAATGAGAGAAGAATGATGTTTGTCTCTTTCCCCTTACCTCAGCAAATCATAACAAATCCACACAACTCCCAGCTTTAGTTTAATGATCAATGAATATCAACCACTACTCATCTTTCAGACATAACTTCTAAATCCCAGTGGACTTAATCAAGCCAACCAAAAGATGCACGCTGTATTCCTCTGAGGTAGCTGGGGATATGAACTCACTGAGTATTTTTGGAGAAATACTTCCTTTTTCTTTTATAGACGCTGATTCTTCAGAAGCAGAACTTTTTGCTGAAAAATATCTCTGTGCTATTTTCATCTGGCAGGCTTTTCAGGTTCAAAGTATAATATTTAGAAAAAAATAAAATAAATAGAAGAAGAAGAGGAACATACCCAAACTAACCCTTGTTTTGTGCACTCCTTTGAGATGTGAAGCTTGTTCTCAAGCAACCAGCTGCGTGCCCTAATTAGCACATGGGTGGGGAGGCATGTGCCTGTCTCCCTTCAGCCGAAACATCACAAAATTTCCAAGCCATAAGAAGAGAGGGCAGGCTTGCCTCTGTCTGGGATCATCTGCTGGGCTGTCACATATCCCACACAGCAAAAACATTCTTCTCCCCTTCTCTTGTGGGCTTCTTTTTTTCTCTTGTATATAGTAGGCATCATGTAATGTAGGATTCTAAATCCCAGGATTGTCTGGGAGCAGCTAAGCCCTCCTCATGCTTTTGTTTTTGTCCTTTTTATTCATTTTGGTGGTTCTCTGCAAACTTCTAAATATTTAGAAATGGCAAAGGTTCTCACTGTATTACCTGTTTCCTGCTCATCCAACTTAATAATAAACTCCATTGAAAATAAGGACAGCTGGCCAGGGATTAACCTGTGAGGAGTACTTGCCTTTGATATTGTTAGAAAACAAATTGTAGTAAGGTGCAATATTTTAAAGGAATTCAGCATACTTGCTGTAAGTTCTTAGACTTCATTAGCAATTTTATGGTGATTCTACATGTGACCAAAGCAGTGTCTTTGCAGTGGGTGCTGGTAAACTTTTACATCTCGGCAGCATGAGTAGGCTCCGCATTTAAGTCATCCACATTTAAGGGATCTGCGGTGCACCCGTATGTGATTCTCTGAGGTCTTACTTCTAAATATCAAGAATATGAGAATAAAAGAGTCAGATTATAAGTTCCTGGATTCTAAAGCGGTCTGTGAGACCTTGGTAAGTGCCGTGCAAAACTGCTCTAGGTAGTGTTTTCTGTTGTCAACTTGGCAAAGCTTCTGATGTTGTCCACAGGAAACACTGAGGTTCCCACTAATCCGTTCTCCAAAAAGCAATCCCTTTTCTAGGTGAGACAAAGCTGAGAAGTAAAACCAGACACTGACTGGTGTTTTGGACCACCTTCAACCACTCTGTGGGCACAGTAGTCTGGGAGATGCACCTTGCATGGCCCTTGGCCCTGGCCATGCAGACCACGCTGTTTCTCCCAAAAGGAAGGTGCTGCCTAGCCCCTAGAGCTGACCCCCCAGGGCATTTACCCTCCCATTCTCCCCCTGGCTCAATTAACACCTGCTGTTTTAAACATGTTGGTGATGCTTTGTTTCTAAATTCTGTAACGAGGGTGTGTGAGTGGACAGAGTGACAGAGAGATTGCCCTGTGTAGTGTGCATTAACGTGTCTTCCCTCCCTCCCCTCCACACCCCGAGCAGCGTGCTCGACAGCGCAAGTCGCCTGGATGAAGAGCATAAGCTGATCGCCAGGTATGCAGCAAGGCTGGCAGCAGAAACTTCTTCATCAGTAAGTGTTTTAATTAAAGGAAGGTGCTTTCCTTATGTCATGTTCCTGGGGCTTGGCGAGATCAGGGAAATTACATCTGACAATCTCAGTGATTAATGGATTATTTTTCCCTATTCTTTGCATCGCATGTTGTTACACTTCTGGAATAACACTTTTATGCGGGCCATTTAAACCAAAGAATCCACGTACTAATGTGTATAATCTATATAATAATGTACCGGTATTTAAACAACTACAGCAAAGAGAATCTGACATCTTGAACTCAAGAAAGACTGGAAAATACTGTCTGGACAAGCCTTGGCTAAAGGTTAATGATTTACTGCAGTGGAAAAACAGGGTGATGAATCCATTTTACTCTTTAGTTCAAATATCACAGCCACTGGGGCCCTAAGTGCTGAGAATTTTTAAGAGTGATCTTCAGCAGGATGACTGTAATGACCCACTGCATTAGCCCCAGCTCCCATTTTCATTTCAGAGCAATGATTATTCTGCTCTATGTATCTCAAGACAGAAGGTGATGACAGGCTAAAACCTCACTAACCATGTTCAGGAATAAGAGAGAGGAAAGCAGGAACCCAATCGAAGTATATAAAATCTTAAATGGCATAAATAAGGTCAGCCTTAGTTACTTTTTTCCATCTCAGCACATTTGGTAGAACAAGGAACCATAAATGATAGTTAAGTGAAAAGCAGCCGGTCCAAGATGTCAGGAAGCATACTTTCACACCAAGATTTACACTGCAGGGTCAATTGGAAGGGTGAAATCAGGCAGCACTCGTCACGTGAAAGCGCTGAGTCCCAGCCATCCCAAGTGAAGGCAGCAAAGCTGAACCCATGGCCCTGTGCAGCCATCTGTCATGCACGATTTCTCACATCCATCAGCACATACCAGTTCTTTATGCACTGCCCCCCTTGGTGGTTGGAACATTAATGGGAAAACGTATGCACAGCAGAAAAACTAGTAAGCAGTTAACAGCCACACATTGTTTCCCCACAGGTAGTGCTAACAAAGGTTAGTACTGAGGTGTATCGTCATCCTTTTTGAGGGTTCATTGCTGCAGGAGGTGCCTGGCATCACATAGAGTTGGGCTCTGGACTTCCACTGCACAGGGCTGTTACAGCAAGAAACACTCAGATGGCAGCAGTAGCTCAGCAGAGTAATCTTCAGTGTCTGAGTCTTTCACATCAGACTCAGAAATAACTGGATATCTTTGAAAGTTACAAAACTTTATATGGCTTTGTTAATTCTTGCTCTTCATTGTCATTGATCCAATGCTGAAAAACTGGTGTGAGCAAAGAAACCAGTGTTTGGCTATTGCTGAAAATATTGAAAAAAGAGCATAGTGCAATAAAGCCAAAGTGAGCACTGCCTAGTTTGGCAAGAAATAATTTGATTCCCACTTAATTTTATTAGGGAAAAAAATAGAAAGGGTTCTGTTGTATCTGCAGGACTGGAGGGTGAGCTTTTTGGAAGTATCACCAGAACATATGGGAAGACTTGGTCAAATATCCAGACTGAAACCAGGGTATAAATCTTTCACATAGAAAGAAAAACCCTGCTTCTGAGGGAAGGAAGCATCACTGAAATGGAAAACATAACCTCTTTTTTCTGGAGAAGGAAGGTGATTTTCCTTCAGTGCTCTCCTCTAGTCTGCAGTATCGAAGAGAAGAGCCGTGTTAATGGCACTGCCTGCACCAGTGCTCTTCCCTCGGTTTTCAGATGGGTGGGGTTAAGCACTTTTACAACTGGCTCAAAGAAAGCTCCTAGAAGATGTGATGAATGACAGGATGGTAAACAACGAGTCTTATTTATGGTAGTGCTTACACTGCTTTTACTAGGATTAGAGCCACGCTGGTGTGAGCCAAAACGGGGCTGCTCTCCTTGCCGCGTAGGCAAGGCTGGTGCTGCGTGTCCTGTGAGCAGGTCTCACAGCCTGGCCCTGCACTGGGCTCGTGGGTGCGTGCTGGCCATCCCCTCCTCAGCACAGCCTCTCTTTTTCAGCAGCAGCAGCAGGGGCAGCAGAGAGGGGCAACAGACATCTCCTTCACCATTGATGCGAACAAGCAGCAGAGGCAGCTGATTGCCGAGCTGGAGAATAAAAACCGGTAAGCACCCACAAAGTGCCTGGTTTTGTTCAGTCCCGTGTATCATGTATGTCTGTTCGCTCCCTGCCATTTATTACCACCTAATTCTGTGCAATGTACTTACACACACATACCCATCCCCCCCCCAAAAAAGTACAGGGCACAAAAAGCTCCACAGAACACGACAAAGGCTTTGAGATCCCCAGCCACACTGAGTTTTCATGAATGTAGTGTTAAATGACATGATGTAATCATTGATACTTTATTGTTTGCAGCTGTTGTTTATAAGAGGTTTTTTTTTTTAATAAAAAAAAGCCTGTCCTTTTTCTAAACCAGATTAATTTTGAGTTGGATCCTCTGTAGAACTATAACATGAAATGATAAAAGGATCAGTCGTCCTGGTAATGATATGCTCCCCTGCTTTTATTTGTGAAGAAGATGATTAAAGCTCCCCAGAACACAGACTGCCTGAGAAAGGTCTGCAGAAAGGTTAGCAGCACGTGAGGGTGCTGATGAAATAGGTCACTAGCTACAGATATAAATGAGACTAAGGGAGAGTGCCGAGGAGAAATGGTCTAGCAGCCCCAAAAAAAGGAGTGACACCCCTGTGTTATCAGCAGAGGATCTGGCCCGAGGTATCAGGCTGCCTGATGTCATGAAATGTATGACAGCACAGCTCTGCTTTTACTGCTGGACCGTAAAAGAGAGGACAGCCCAAACCAGATGGTTTCCTATTGCAAACCCTGCACTGCCTTCTGTCACAGCGTAATGAGCCACCGGCTCCAGCCTTGATTTGTCTTTCATAGTTTGAGTCCGCCTCCTGACCGTCTGGTACCCAGCACGCTGCGAAGGAGAGAAAAAAATCACAAAGGTTTCAACCTTCTGCTGTGAAGCTTTGTGTTATCATTTTGACAGTCTTCCAGGGCTGGCGTGCCAGTCGTAACAAGTCCTATTAAAGTGCTTCTCCATGCACTGATGACCGCTCTCAGATCTGTACTTACTCCACAAGTATTTTTTAAGTGTGAAATATTTTGACGGATATTACTTTAGTTTTTACTAAGTTCATGGGGTGCTTGAGATGTTCCTGAGGAAGAAATAGAAGGGAGCAATTTAATTAAGCATAGAGCTATTTCATATCTACCTCTAGGTTTGGGGGTCTGGAACAAATACTTCCCTTTTGTGGTGAAGCTCTACAAGTTTATTGAAAAAATATCCCAGTGCTGAGGGCTTCTGTTGGTTAGAGTTCAGTCACAGAATCCGTGTTGGTGAAGAAGTACATACAGTCATACTTTTTCTCCTCTAGCGATGTGTAGTGAGCAGGTTTTGTGGTCAGTGACTGACTTGCAGTATTCTCCTTGTTCCCATCCCCAAGAGAAATCCTACAGGAGATCCAGAGGCTGCGACTTGAGCACGAGCAAGCATCTCAGCCCACACCGGAGAAGGCACAACAAAATCCTACTCTCCTGGCAGAGCTCCGGCTCCTGAGGTAAGCACAGCAGTTCCTGAGGCCATTCCTGAGGCCAGGCTCACAACAATAAGGGAAGAAATACGAGATAAACCTTGCTTACACTTCTGGGAGCTTTCTTAAGTAAATAGCACATTGTGTGTTTTTTCTCCCATTTCAGTGCAGGCTGTAGTCCTAAAAGTAATTAAGCTTATGCTTTAAGCAG